AGTCCAAATAGGTCGTTCGATGGAGGAATTTAGCCGCAAATTTGGAATTCTAAAGTTGGATGGGCAAGATGAGTTAGTGGCGATATTTAGCTCGTAAATGAAGCTATCGATCTCCAATTGATTTAAAAATTAATGGGTTAAAAAGATAAGAAATAGGGCTACAACTTTGAAGAGGAAAAAAAATCTAATTCGGCATGTATCTAGTCCATTTAAGCCGATTACTCAAGAGTAGATGTTTTTACCTCGTGTATGATGAAGCAATCAAAGACACGGCCACGTGTCTTGTTTTGGGTCAACTTCTAGTTGTGTGTCACAACACACATGGTTGTGTGTGTCTTTTTCCTTTCGTTATGTACTCTTTTATCTCCATATTTAGGTTTGAAAGGATTTCAAAATATGGCCTCATAAATTTTCATCAATGAAACACACAACAACGACTCAATCAATTATTATTCAAACAATCCAAAACCCCAATAATAAGTTATAAAGATGCGGGACTTCACCAAATCTCATACGAGCCTTAACCTTAGGAAATACACTCTTGGCAGATTATGGTCACACTCGCACATATCATACATACAATCATTTTCAAGCATTTCACATCCATTTATTCATAACCTCGCATACTTATCATAATCCATCACAACCTAAAGCATTAGGCAAATAATTCATGTATTCCTCTCTAGCTGAATGTTTCATCCATTCAACCAAAGGATATTTCCTCAATCATTCACTCTATACAAGTCGTCCTATCGTGTTCAAGCCTAATCTTTCATGAAATTCATATGACTAGTCTTTAGGTTACTTAGGGTTAAAGGCCGAATCTACTTCCTAATTAATCCAACCTAATTCTTTATTTCAATACATCTAACTTCAACTAACCAAGGTTAAAATCACTAAATTCTATGGCTTAACCATCCAATGCAATAATCCCTCACATTTGAGACTTGGCCAATCGGCCTTATATCAAACAATCAAATCGATTTCTTTACAATTAACCTTAAGTCATTCTCATTTAATCTCACTTAAACATCATTTAATCCACAATACACACACATACATATTTCACTCTAATTTTCATTTTGGTCAAATCTATCAAACCTAACTAGCCATTCAATTTCATCAATTTCCTTTTTACTTTTAAGCCAAGCTATGGTTTACATATTCTATCAAACATCTTAGTTGCATTAGTTTTCTACAACACAATCTTTCCTTATTCTTCATAGTCTTGGCCGAATGGTTCATCCCAATGAATCTATTCCTTAAGCTCCTCTTTTTCCCATTCAATTACTCAACACAACCAACAAATCACCAATCATACAATGTCAACATAAACCTTAGTTATCCAATTCACCATAAAACAATAGTTAATCATTCAAAGCATTAAACTACTTGTAGTATGGGTGAGATTACACTTACTTATCATCGTCACAATTTTCAATCAATCATCAATTTCATAAATTAAATATCAATTGAACAAAAATCATTCAATTGCATAATTTAAAATCCTAGGGTTCTAAGAACACAATTCCACCAATTCAACACATAATCATCTTAAGTCTTACAGTGAGTTGAAGTTATATTTATTTTAGGTTTGATTGAGGATGGAATCACCTTAAAGCCTCCAAAATCACCCCTCTCTTGGCCAAAACTTTTGCCCAAAATGCCCTTAATGAGCTATATGTCCTAAGGATATTATTTCGAGAAGTAATACATGATTGAGTCATTAATTTAATTTTAAATCCAAATTTATACATGTATAAAAATTATTTAATTAAATTATATTTACTAAATATTTCACTTATTAATTAATGCACTATTCATACAAAGCATAGAAATTAAATTCGGGTATTACATTAGCAAATCTTCTCTCTAGTTTACAAGAAATAGGAGAAAATACTATCTATATTTAACTAGCTATTCTGTCGTTGATTTTCTTCGCAATTCCTTTGTTAAATCGTCTTTAAAATACTCATAGATTTTTTTCCGTCACATATAACGATAAATTTAGATTTGTCGTTGTTCCGTAGTTGAAATTTACACCTCGATAACAATTGTAGTTTGTTGGCTAATTTGTCGTTATTAAACGATAAACTTTGATCCATCACTTGATTCCGTTGCTATTTGATAGGTTTTTTTTGAAGTATTAGTTGTCCGTTATGCATTTTCATTATGTTTTGTTTTTCTTTGGGTGGTGCCCATCCTCGCCCTTTTGGACAGTATCTCCTGATTAAAAAGTTCCTCATAAATGTTTATCTATAAAGTTGAGAGTTCGAATCTCACTTATTGTAATATGTACTTGGTGCTTTATTCAATTCTTCATGTATGATAAAAGTTATCTTTGAAAAGACTCTTATTTTCGATCTCGATATAGATACTATGAAGATCTAGGGACAATATTCTCTGCAGGGAGGGTACGTGTAAAAAACAAATATCTCCTCAGTCTGACCCCATCAAAACTTCTCTGAAGTTGTACGATATCCTTTGGATAGGGCCACGCAACCAAACATATTTGGATACTTCTGTCAAGGATGACAACAACCACCAAAAAAAAAAAAACATTACCAAGTAATTAATTACTCATTATATATTCTTAGGTTTTGGATTGGCTTTTGCATTTTGTTTTTAATATATAAGAGGAGATAGATTTCTGAGAGGATCTGCTGAAAGATAACAAAAATTAAACCTTTTGCATTGAAGAAGTTAAGTTATAATATCCATGAAGGAGATATTTAAGCATACAAACAAATATTTCGAGGGGCCCATAATTCAGCCGGCCAAAGTTTGCCCATTTCCTTGCTTTGCCATGGTTCCTCCTACCGGCCTGTTATCAATAAAAATAAATCCAATTAATTACTATAAAAAAAATTTCCTATTGCCTAGTATTTATTGAGGAACTGGCAAGAACCTCTTTTTCATTAAATCTAATTAAAATTTAAATAAATCAAAAGCTAAGTTTGACAAGAATTGATACGTGCAAATAGAATAAATGGATTTCATAATTAATTAAATAGATAGATTGAAAAATGCTTTTTCTGTGTTTGTTTTGCGTAATATATTTTACAATCAACTTAGAAACTCAGTTAATTTGGTGAAAAAATATTTTCAATTAATCAAGTTTCATAAAAATAATTTACAGACAATAACTAATTTACAATATCAGTTTTTGAGGCTAATAATTTAGAGTTAGAGGGATTATTGCGCCATCCGGAAATATGAGGTTATTTTTCATGTCAAATCTTCCTAGAGAGATTCAAACCAGGGACTGCTTCTAGTTGGAGATTAGGAAGACTCTCTCTAATATTTAATTAAGATAATTAATAGACAAAGTTTTGCAATCCAAATAGTCAATTAAGATATTAGATAATTAATAGTTTTACATTAACTCTCCCTAATATTTAGTCTGGTAAGTCGCTTATCTTTTTCAAGGTTAAGTTCTAAGGAACTGTATCAAGAATTTTCCGGCAAGTTTGGATAGAGAGAGTTTCTTGAGATACAGTGAACCAACATGATGGCATGTGATGCATATTCAACAGGGAAAAGATGTCAATGTCGGTTTGACCTTAATTTGCTGGAAAGACCAACGTTTCCCTATTTGTGGCTGTATCATTGTCCGCGTGTCGTAAACAATTAATATTTTGTGGCTGTAAATTTCTAAGTGATTCCATGAAATTTCGGTGTTTTAAAATAGTATCGTTAGCCGCCTTAACATTTTGTGGCTGTGAAATTTCAGTGTTTCAAGATAGTATCGTTAGCCGCCTTGACAAGATAGGCATCATCAGCACAGCAAGCAAGCAGCGGCAAATTCACTATGTACTTGTTATCAAGTAACGCATGGCAATACTAAACCAATGCAGCTCAGGCAACATAAGGATAAATCATGAACTATGTACTTGTTATCAATATGAATTTCTCCCTTCTTTCCAGAAGTTGAAAAAAAAAATCAATACGCAGAACTCAATTCATGACGAGACGCCAACTACTTCCCAACCAAAAAAATATTGCGAATCCTTCTAAAAACCTAATTAAACACAACAAATTCACTCAATTAAAGATTAATGATACTATTAATTATGAATAAACAAAAATAAAGAGTGCATATTAGTGTTATATTTAGCGAAAAAAACTAAATTGTGTTATAGCTCTAAAAACCATAGAGGTCTTCATTAATTATAAACAATTAAGTTATCGTTAACAGAGACACAAACCATCAAATGAACATCAGCTTGCAGCGCACGTTTTAATTGTTTCCCTATTTGCAGTGTTCCAGATTATTTTAATTTCAACTATATTGTCCCCGAATATCTAAGTGATTATCCCTCCATTCACCAGCTGGCTACTGCATGCATCTGAACGTAATTTTTTGAGAAATAAAATGGTTAAAAAGTATTAAAAACACACACACACATATATATTTGAAAATGAGTTGTCCATTATAAGATTTAAATCTTTCAAATAAAATTTAATCTCAGTTATTAAACGTAAACGTCTATTAAGACCGGGAGGAGTCCAAATTATTTGACAGATATATGTTAGAAGTGAGGGAGAGGAGCCCCGGACCCTAAGATATGAAGAGATTGAATGTACTGAAGTTGTGTATATTTTATTATGTTCAGGAACACTATATATTGGGAGGAGTTTATACAATGATAGAGTTCTAACTCTATTGCATGTAAAGTAAACTTAGATTACATTGTGTTTGAATTGTAGTTAACTGGTAGTAGAACTTTGTAATTCATGCTTATCCTTAATTTACAAAATTTTACCCATTATAGATTATCAAACATGTTACACATTTACAAAATTTTCTTACATAAAGCCACGCAAGAAACCCCAACATGTCAAGCATGTATGAAAAAAAAATTATATAGATAACACATCACACATTTATAGTGTGTGGGACAATTCAGGACTCTTCCTATTGATTTTTTTTATCTATACAAAACCACACAAGGAACACCAAGCATGTCAAGAAGGATAGTGGATAGAGTTGCTTGAACATGGAATATTTTGCTGCCACTTCCTTCACAACCTTACTTCTTGTCTTAGCAATCACCTTATTTTACTTCACGATCAAATCCAACAAGAATGTCAAGAAACATCCATTGCCTCCAGGTCCAAAACCATGGCCTATTGTTGGGTGCCTCCCTACCATGCTTCGAAATAAGCCAGCGCCTCGATGGATACATAGTCTCATGAAAGAAATGAACACTGAAATAGCTTGTATCCGTCTAGGAAACGTTAATGTAATTCCTGTCACTTGTCCTGATATCGCATGTGAATTCTTAAAGGCAAAAGATGGTATCTTTGCATCTAGGCCTAATATCATATCGGCCAAAATTGTGTCAAGAGATTACTTAGCAACAATACTGAGTCCGTTTGGAGACCAATGGAATAAAATGAAGAAAGTGATGATGACACAAGTGCTTTCTTCTGCAAGGCATCAGTGGCTTTATGGAAAAAGAGTTGAAGAAGCCGATCACCTTGTTCATTATGTGTATAACCAATGCAAGAAAGTTGCAGATCAAGAAGGGGTAATCAATTTGAGAATGGCTGCACAACACTACTGTGCAAATTTGGTTAGGAAGATGATGTTTAATATGAGGTTTTTTGGCGAGGGAATGGAAGATGGTGGGCCTGGTTTCGAAGAAGAGCAACATGTGGAAGCAATTTTCACTATCATTAATCATTTATTTTCATTTTGTATCTCTGATTTTTTGCCATCTCTAGTAGGGTTTGACTTAGATGGCCATGAGAAGGTGGTGGAGGAGAGTCATGGGATCGTCAATAAATATCATGATCCCATAATTGACCAAAGGGTCAAACAATGGAAGGATGGCACGAAGAAGGATATGGAGGACTTGCTTGATGTATTAATTACCCTAAAAGATGGCAAAGGCAAGCCTTTGCTGTCAAAAGATGAGATCAAAGCTCAAACTACGGTGAGTTTTACATGCAATTAAATTTTGAATTCCAAATATATATCTTAGCGATGATTTTGAAACATCAAGACATTTCATTTTGTAGGAAATAATAATTGCAACAGTGGACAATCCATCAAATGCTTGTGAATGGGCATTTGCAGAGATGCTAAATCAACTCGAGATATTTGAAAAGGCTATTGAAGAATTGGACAGAATGGTTGGAAAAGAGAGACTGGTCTAAGAATCCGACTTTGCGCAGCTCAATTACGTGAAGGCATGTGCTAGAGAAGCCTTTAGGCTTCACCCCATTTCACCATTTAACGTTTCTCATGTGTCGGTCGCCGATACGACAGTTGCCAACTACTTCATCCCGAAAGGTAGCCACGTTTTGCTCAGTCGGCAAGGGCTTGGTTCTAACCCTAAAGTATGGGATGAGCCACTCAAGTTCAAACCAGAGCGTCACCTCAACGGAACAAACAAAGTGGTGCTCACTGAGAATAATCTGCGATTCATTTCGTTTACAACGGGAAAACGTGGGTGCATAGGTGTGACACTTGGGACTTCCATGACTACCATGCTATTTGCAAGACTTCTTCAAGGGTTTACTTGGAGTTTACCACCTGAACAGTCCTGCATCGACCTTACCAATGCAGAAGACAGCATGGCACTTGCAAAACCACTGCTTGCAGTTGCAAAACCACGCTTGCCTCCACATTTGTATCATTAGATATTAGCATATTGTGCTAGAACATTTAGTAATGTAATAAACTATGACAAAGAGAAAGTATGTCTCCATTGAACGTTTTAATGCAATGGTAAGTGAGTTTCCGTCATAACCATTTTAAACAAAGAAGATTAAATTATTAAGTATGATTCCAATAACAATTAATCACCGAATTAATTATTTGAGATTAAATACGTGCTCTTTGAGGATTTGTTAAGTGAATTCAACATTTTGATGCAGAAAACTAGCTAAGGGGCGGACATAAAGACGACTCCAATATTATTTGTTTCTTTAACACTTATCCCGGCCTTTACTATAGATATATAAAAATTTTAGATATTAAAAAATAAAGACTAATTAATTGAAATTATTCCACATTATAGATTGTTGGATTTGAAGCACAAATTGAGATGGAGCCCATAATTAAAGCACAACCCAACTATAGACATTTTGTGTCCAAAATTTTTAGGGTTTGACATGATTTTTGATGGACTACCATCACCACTGTTCTAGTGCTATCACATCATATTTTATTAATATTTATTAACTCTATATACTATCCTATTATTATTATTATTATCTCTATCTATCATTCACACAAACACACACAATATGCACAAAAAATATTGAAAATCAATAAATGAAAGTGCTTCATGAGGGAAATATATAAACAAAACTATAAAAATGTTTGAAATTTGTCACTAGTTTATACACATAGACAATATGGAATAGATTCGGTTTTATATATATTCGAAACGAAAACATTACCAAATTACCTAATATGTATAGGTTCTATAATGAATAAATTTAAATTAATGGACTGAAATGAAAATTATACGAAATTCTTGACTTGGGGGAGAAAACATTATTTCATATGCTTGACCAAATCGTATAAATTTGAAGCATATAAACTAAAATGAATATAATTACTGAAATTGTCTCTCAATATGGACCTTACATTCACCAATAAAATCAAGATCCACAGAGGAATAATGCGTGGTCCAATGCAGCTGGACATTTAAGGACAAGCATTTTTATATTAAAAAAAAACGTGAAAACATATATTAAGTGCAAATGGGCTGAATGGAAAGCAATAAAAAGCATGTGCCATGACCCTGTGTTCAATTGCCATGAGCTTCATTTCTTTCTGTTTCTTTAACATCCACTTGGAAGGAGTCAATCCAACAACTAGCATCACTTAATTCAATAGACAGTCTTCCTCAATTGCACTGTAATTCTCGTATGGCTTATCTTCACAATCGAACTATACGTACGGTTTCACAAGTTGATATATATATATATATATATATATAGCGGTAGACAGCCAATTCCTTTCGAGCTTTGAGTAATCTAAAATCAAGCTACAGAGCCTTAATTACCGCACAAAAAGAAAAAAAGAAAAACGTGAAAGCTAAGTATGGGGTTTGAATTTAGTTTCGTGTCCATTTTTGCATTCTATGCATACATATGTGTGTGAGTATAAATAAATGCGATGGGCATTGATTTTCAATTAAAAAAAATATTTTATATTTAAAAAATTAAACTATTAAGTAAAATTATAAAACATAATTTATATTATTTCGAAATGACGTCGATGTAAGGTATGATCTATGGTGCATGAATCGCATACTATGGTTGTGGACTGTGAGCACGTGGATCGATCCACAAAAGTCCTCGACATAGAAATGTCTTTTTTGCTAATCTCTACTACAATGACCACTTGCTTATCTAAACTTTTAATAAGATGTATTGCTACACGACGTTGGATGGGACCCTTCAAAGAAGAATTAATAGTTTAGATGTTAATTAGTTATAAAATTATTTTCAAAGTTTTGGAGTCATCACATAAGTATTTAAGGAACTAAAAATCTAAAAGTAGACTCTGGTTCGGAGATTTCTAAGGTAATGAGTTAGTTACGTTTTTAGGAAGATATTTAATCACATAAAAGCGTCGTTTTCAAAAAAAGGTACCTTATGCGATTTAATTCTAAATTATCTCCTTAAATCCATGTCAAGCTATTTTCTAAATTTTAATCTCCTATTTGTTACACTAAATAAATTTTTTAGTTTTGGGCGTGACATCATATTGAAACGATCATCGGTACCCTTCATTGGGTGACTCGTCAATTCAAACATCGGATCCACTAAAAGCCTTGACACAACCGACGTGTCGGAGGACATTTTGATTAAAAGATGATATTTTTTTAGTGGCGTCGCCCCTATCAAATAGGAGGCTTCGCCAATTTTTGAGCTTTTTTTTGTGACATCGATCCTTATTAGATAGGAGACTTCGTCAAATTTTATATCTATATATAATTTTTCTAGCGATACATATTAAAGAAAAGAAAATAAAAAAAATTGAAATTGAAAATTCTAAATTAATACGGAAAAAGGACAAGAAATAAAATAAATAGCTAAAAAAATAAATGAATAAAAAGGATTAAAATAAAATAAAAAATCATCTTATATAAACAGGTTAAGAAATAAAAAAATCATCCTATTCCTAAAATATTAACCCTCACTTTTACTTTTTTTTTTTTTTACCCATCCTCATATTTTTTTCTTCCCTAATTCTATTTTTATTTTTTCATTTCCCCCTTTTTTTTTTTTTTTTTTTTTGGGTTAGGGACAACTGGCTGGCTGAATTCGATCCGACCCACACATTTTTTTTTGGAAAAGGACGATGGCTTTCGGTCCGACCCCTTTCGTTTCTTTTTTTTTTCGCGAGTCGGCTTAAGCCCAAAAACAAGTCCACTCGTTTTCATTTCTTATTTTTCAGATCAAAAAACCAAAATTTCAAGTTCATAACTCTTTCTCTCTCCTCGTTCTTCGTGTTCTTCACTTTCTCTCCCTAGTTCTTCAAATTTATTTCAGAATTTAAGGACCCTCTTTAAAAGGAAAGACTTAATTACATAAACCACCATTTAGAACATGAATAAAACGAACGATTGAAACTAAAACCACAATGAAATTAGAAACTAAAGATTCAAACCCAAAGACCGACTCGGAAAACGGGAAGAATATCAAGAACAAACCCGTAAAGACTCAGCGAAAACCCGAAATGCAAGCAACTAGAACACTAATTTCTCACGAATTCCTTGAAATCTCACTCTCGATTTCCTTTCCTTCGCCCTAACAAACCAAAATCTTCCTCGAATCAATGTTATGGATGCTTCAAACTCGGTTTTGGGTTGAAGAACACAAACCTAGAAAGAAGAACCTTCAACCAAACAAACCTAGAAAATTTCTGCTAATAAAAATCGAAAATCAACCTTTTTTTTTTTTTTTGCTTGAATTTCCTATCTCTCAAATCAAAATTCCTCTCTCCATTCCCCTTTTTTCTTTATGTGAAATTCAAACGTTTTATAGCCAAAACATTTCCTAAAATTTAATCGAAATCCCCGAATTTTCTATCAAAAAGTTTTCTCTTTAATTCATGATTAATTGTGAAATCAAAACAGAAAATTCTCATTGATTCCCGTTAGCGTTGGTTTTGGCAACAAAATCCATGATTAATACATAATCAAAAACAAAAAATTCATGGACGATTTGGGCGGATTCTCCCAAAGATTTTCGAAGAGAATGCGCTTGGAGCGAACGACGGGTCGTTTGCTCTGTTTCGATCCCGTCGTTCACTTCAGACTTCTAGTTTGGTCCTCGTGTTTCAATTGCAGCAATTACGCCCTCTCGCGAAATAATTTCAGTACAATCTCAACAATTAGGTCCTTGGAGGTGCAATTTAAGGCCTAAACTTTTTAATTGACTCGATTACACCCCTAATTACTTCAATTATATCCCTAAATGAATTTTTTTTTCATCATTTGCTTTCTTTTTTTCTTTTTCCTTGATAAACTTCAAATTAAAAACAAAAAAATAAAAAATAAATAAAAATAAAAAATAAAATAAGAAATAAGAAAATTGTGGGTTATTACAAGATGCAAATTAATATGAGTGGTATTGTAAATTAACATGAGTGTTATGTACGGTGATTTATATACAAGTTACTGTTGTAGTTGTTTTAATTAAAATTAATTTAGATATTCATGCTACGTTGCAATCGAATAACCGTTATATACGTAAGGTTAATGATTCATATAGTACAAGTATAGGTAAAAATCTTATTTATCGTGATTAATGTAAATTAAATTTATTTGTTTAGTAAAATCGTTTGATTTATACATATTTATTAACAAAATAATAAATAATATTAGCATAAAAATTTATATTTGAATAATTGAAAGGTTCTTTCAAAGCATTATTTGAATTATTTTATTTAAAAAATATTGATTTTAGAACATAATAAATAATTGGTGTTATGTGTACGGATAAATGATTAATTTCAAACAAAACTAATGATATATATATATATATCAAAATTAGTAGATTCAAAGTATATAGTATAAATATTTTTTTTAAAAAAAATCATCTAAGTTATATGGAATATATTAAAATCAATAAATTGAAATAAAAACTACTACAAAATTGGTTCTCATAAATTTTACTTCTTAATCTGTGATGAAAGAGATTCTTGAATTGCAAATTAAATTATAAATTGGTTCATCTCATTTTGAGAAATGAATTAATGAATTCTTTTGGTTTCAAAAATAAATGATTTAATTTTTTTAATTAGTGTTGACCATGAATAATTTATTTATTTTTATTTTACAAAATGTCCTTTTTTCATATTTTTACTTATATATTTTTTTTATTCTTTCTCTATTTCTTAAAAAAAAAAAAACATTGAAATAGAAAAAAGTACAAAAAAAATTAATTTTTGAACCAAAAGGACTAATTAATTTATTTCTCAACGAAAGAGAGACTAATTTATAATCACTCTTGAATAGCAACCGACTTTGGCTTTCGTATAGAAAATAAGGAAAAAAACATTGAAAGAAGACAAGAGCATTAAATCTCAATTTGACAAAAAAAAAGAAGGAAATGACGAAAAAAGGCCCAAAAAGAAAATTAAAAGGAGAATCGGTCAAGGATAAAAATGGATTTTT